TTCTTCATAGCTGAAAGTGTCCAAATCTACTGTCTTCATTTTGTAGTCAAGGCTTCCAGAAAAATATGCTAACTGATTCCTAATTACCCAAATGCCCCATATCTGTTTCAGTAAGTATCATTATATATTATGGAAATTTTCCTCAGTGACAGAGAAAGACATCCTGGCTGAACATCCCCCTGCCCATGACAGAGATGATGGGTCTCAAGCTACCTTGAAGGCGTTGGAGCGCACTTTATCTGTTTCTAATAACAATGGAGGACAAAACTTAATATTCTGTTTCCTCTGTATTTGTTACATCACTTCTTCCCTTCATTTAAATGGATGGCCCATAATTGAGTTGGCAGTGTATTTATCATTGGAAACTGAACACATTTTTGTGGGTTTTATTAATGTCAGGTTTCTAGGGAGGGTCTAGTCAAAAACTAAGTCTAGTTTCACAGTTACAAATAAATTATGATGTAACTTTGAATAAATTAAGCTCATCAGAAAGGAAGGATACTGAGAGTTGCTACTACTTCCTTGAGGGGCTCTTGTAAAGCAGTAAATAAAGTAACAGAGGTGTATATGCATGCATATATTTTCAATGATACTTGTACACACTTAAAAAGAACTCTACAGAATGCATTATAAAAATCTTGATGCTGTGTGTCCCTAGTTCCCAGCTCTCTCATTAAAACTACTTACATTAACAAAATCTTATCTATTAGGATAGCTATCAGACTACTCCAAATACTACTTCTTGCAGTAACCTGTCCCAACCATTTGCCTTCCTCTTTTCATTACTCCTCATTTCAGAAACCCCGGAGATTTGTTCATTAATTTATGGACGTATTTATTCATTCAGCCAAGAAAATTTATTGATCCCTTACCAAATTTCAGGTACCCTTCTCCAGTATGTTTTATAGCCATGTTCAGGAAACAGAGCAGTGATTAACAGAGATGACTATACCCTCTCTTGAGCTGAGGGTGGAAGACGAAAGTAAATAAGCAAATATAAAATCGTAAGTATAAATAGTAAATAAAAATTAAATAAATGGATAGAATAGTATATCCGGTAAGTGCTGGAGAAAAACAGCAAGCAAGGAAGGGAGATGGAGATTGTTAGCTGGTGGGGGAGACTGTGACCTGAAACTAAGTGATCAATGTCAGCTTTATGGGGAAGATAAAATTTAAGAGGGAACTTAAGGCTGTGGGAGGGAGTAAGGTGCATACCTGGGAAATGAACAGTACAAGCAGAGAGAACAGTCAGATGGAAAGGCAATGAGGCAAGAGTGGGCCTGGAGTATCCAAGGAGCAGAAAGGATGTCAGTGTGTGGAAAACAGAGGGAGCAAAGTGGAGAGGAGAAGGAAACAGTCAGAGAGGAAACAGAGGCCCAGATTTCTAGGGCTGTGGAGGCACTTTGAGGACTTTGCTTTTCCTGTGAAGAAGCCACTGAAGAGACTTGAGTGACATGATCTGACTTATGTTTTAACAAGATCTCTCTGGAAGCCATGTTGATTAGAGACTGTAGGAGAGTAAGGACAAGCCCCAGAAGATCAATAGTTGATTCAAGAAGTGATTACTCAAACATGGTCCCCCTCCTCAGGGAGGACGCAGAGCAGGAATCGGCAAATAATGGCCACAAATCAAATCAGGGTCTCAGCCTGGATCTGTGGGACTGTGAGCTAATAATGGTTCTCACGTTTAGAAAGGTTGTTGAAGAAGAAAGAGGAGGAGAAGCTACAGAAACTGCATGTGGCCCACAAGCCTAAGATATTTAAAATCCAGAAAATGCTTTCCAACACCTGATGTAAGGTATCTGGCTGGTAGTAGGTCCTCAACAAAATTTGGAAGAGGAATACGTGAGTAAATTAATTCCTGAAAACATCGTAAAGTAATAGGTGTCAAGAAACTTTTATGCCTTCACCCTTAACCTTTACAAATGATGCCATTTCCATTGAGTTATTGAAAAATATAATGTGGCTTTCAAAACAATAAACCAGAAGGCATTTTCTCACATAAGCAAAGTCATAAACAACTGTCAGCTAAAGTTGAAATAGCAACAAATCAAATAATAACAAAAAACATTTTTATAGATTTTTAAACCTTACAAAGCATTTTCGTGTTCATTACCTAATTTAACCCTCAAATCAACTCAATGAGATAGTTATTAAATCCTTAGTGATTGCTCAAGAAAAGCTGCCATCTTGAGTGTTACATCTATTAATGCCAAGGATGGGTTTTTTTCCATGGGAACACTGGATGCTAAAATCAACACGGAGTTTCAGCTCAAGATGGCAGACTAGGAAACATATTCACTTTGTGTTCCTCCTGAAACCATATTTAAATCAAAGTGTAGAAATACCAAAATTAATAAACCAATAAAAGCCAAGACATTGTGGAAGCCATCAACCACAGAAAGATTTCAACACATTTCGAGAAGGCAAACAATGAAATGGCGGAGCGATGAATAAAATAATTAAGAAAAGATTACCCTAAGTAGGGTCTGCACAAAGCCAGTCCGCTTTTGATGAGCTCTGGTTATAGTACAGGGCAGAGGAAAGAAGAGGGGCTGAAAACAAGGAGACAAAATTCACTTTAGGGAAAAAAGTTCATTTAATGAGCTCCAGGGAACACTCAGCCTACTGCCATACTAACTCATGAATTACAATGGATTGTTGGTAAGCAAGACAAGAACACAGGGAACAAACAAAACAAACAGAAATCAAGAGGTTGTTTCTTACTGAACTCTTCTCAAATGAGATCAAGGAATTATGGTTAAATGCCACAGCTGTAAATCATTTCTGCTCCTGGAGAGGTTAGAAAGGGCTTATAATAGTTACCCTTTTTTTCAGACAGAATTTAGGTCTGAGCAAAATCTTTTGTGTCCTCCAACCTCAAAGTTTATTGGGGATGGAAGTCCAAATTTGCTGTGACATACCATAAAAAGAATCTCATGAGCAGAGGGTCAAACTACTTTTGGAATATATGAATTATGCCCAGTGTTATTTTAAATAGATTTTAAACAAAAATATATAAATAAATTTTTACTGATCTGTATGATTCTGGGTTCTGAAACTTCTACATGTCACGTGCCTGATATATAACACACAATGTCAGCCCCAGGAGAGAGAAAACACTCCAGTGAAGCAAGCCACAGAAACAAGATTCGAACAAGGTACAGTGATGTGTAGACCAGGATTTTTCAATTCTTTCCTGCCATGCTGAAGCTTCCAGCTCATGAAAAACAACACGTTTCCCTTGTCCTAGACACCCAAGGGTATGTCTCCTCTCTTGGGCATAAGAATCTCTACAGTTACATATGGATAGTAAAGAGTGGGCCCAGCTGGCATACTCACAATGACCAAATTGTGTTGATCGTACTTTAAACCAACACATCGCTCCATGATGAAGCTGCAATAAATGATATATTTGCTTTCTAGACACGAATGAGATGCCTTACTGGATATACTCCAGGAAGGCCAGAGAAACTGGCTTCTAATCCATACGGAATAATTCACTGGTGAATTTCTCTCAGGATAGCCCATGATTTATCTAGAATATAATCTGTACATATCTGGATCCTTCAAACTAGACCAAAGGGAAAATCTGGGCTGCGAGCCTCAATTAGAAATGTGGGGTGGTGCTATGCTGACAACTGGTGGTCCCTGACCTTTATCTTCTGAGACTAGAACCCAGTGTGTTGGATGACCAATACATGAATTGAACAAAAGAACACCTCCTACAGGGCAGTGTATGTGTTCACTGCAGGTATGGCACTTAGGGCTAAGTACCATAAGGACTACAAGAAAAAAAATATATAGTAACACATGAAGCATATACGATAAGGAGGCACCAGAGTCCAGAGCACGAGCTCTGGAATCACACAGGCTTGGTTCAAATCCCGGCTAAGCCACTACCATCTGTATTCCCTGAAGAACAGTCGAAGGTTTAAATGTTCTTTTACCAAATTTCGAAAAAGAAGTGAAGAAAGAACCTATCTGCCAGGAAGGGACATCGTGGCAGCATCCAGTCGGGGCAGGGCTCTGCATCCCCTGCTCAGAAACCTTCACCACCTGGCTCATGGTGATGCTGGCAGCTCAGCAGCCCTGGAGAAGGCGCTCCTGTCTCCAGGCCTCTCAGAGAAGCTGGGGAGGTCCCCAGAGGAGGCGGGTCACAGCCTGGCAAGCTCTGGGTGCCTCCTGCACTCAGCTCTGAGCAGGTTCTGGCCTCTGGGCCCCTTGGTGGGGAAGGGCTGGCCGACACATACCCAGGGCTAAGGGGCCTGCAGAGCCGTGCCAAGGCAGGGTGAGCTCTGGCGGAGAAGGCTTCCACATTGCTAAACAGTCTCCGCATGGTGGCCCATCTGGTGCCAAACACCTGCCACCCACAGCGAGAAGCCCCAGACACTAGAAAGTCCAGAAGGGGTCAGGCTCGGGGTCCCGCCCTTTGCCCTTGGGCCGGGGTTTCTCCACGGGCTGGGCTTGCGTGCACCCCCCACCCCACCTCCCACCCCACCCGCCCTTTCTCTGTGACAATACAATGGACACATAACAAGCGCCAGACTGATCCATCCAGCGTCCAGTGAGTGCTAGACCTCGAGAGGAGGCAGAAGCTAGGGAGAAGCTCTCCCAGTTTCACACTCTATTCTCGGATCGCTTGGCGTACAACCCTTCTACAGGGGCAATTTACTTTGTAAGTTTCCTACCTGGCTCTGCCGCGCTGGCCCCGTTGCTGGCCCTGCTGTGGGGCCCCGGTGGGCTGTCACCTGCTGGTTTTGCTCTCCCGGGAGGCTGCCACATCCGACCGGGATCACCCCGCTGCTCCAGCGCCTGTCTTCTGCCCTGGTCGCAGACTGTCCCACTGAGATCGAGTGCCTTCATCGTCTGGCTTTTACATTGCACCAAAAAGGCAGTATCCCATTCAGCAGGCCAGATACTCCCGTCTGCGGATTCTTCCCTTGGTGAACTGGAGGGACTCGCCAAAGAAGTCCGTGCTGTCTGCTCATAATTCCATGATGTTCAGCCACTCGGGAATCATCAAGAGTCCTCCACTGGGGGGCAAATTTACCCTCCTGCGTTCACCACCTGAGCAAGCTAGTCAAGGTTAGGAAGCCGGTAGCATCCAGTCATCTCCCACTTCCTTGCCCAAAGGAGAGTGAGGTGAAGGTCCAAGAAGAGCCCCAAAGAGGCATGGCAAAGATGGAGGATCACACAAAGACTGAAGGAGAGGACGATCGGAAGGGCCACCGTAGCAATGGGGATCTAGGCCCCAGGAGACCCGTGGAGTCCTCACTTCCCTCGAGTGCGATCCTGAGCCTCTGGACCTCCTTCCCGAGCACCCAGAAGACAACTTGAGTGAGAATGCCCAGATGTCTCCAATGAGCTCCTCCTCAGAAAGCCATGTCATCCGCTCAGATGGAGATCCTGGAGATGTCCTGCCTCCTTGGAAGCCTGAGTCCCATGCCATGGTGTTCTCTGCCCCAACCGCACGCTGCTTCCTGCTGCTGGAGAGACCAACAAAAGAAGTGCTGAGTGAAGACCACCGGCCCAGCTCGCCACGCTCACTGATGTCTGGGAAGGAGCCGCAGCGTGAGAAATCTTCAGACATCCCATCAAGAAGCTCCGCTTCCCTGGTATCTACCAGCCGTAGGCCCTGCAAGCGGAACATTCCCCTGACGCTTTTTTTGCTGCTGCCGGGGCTGAGGTCGACCCTGCCACTGACATGGGATCAAGGTGAGCTGCCCCCTGCTCCTAAGCTTCCGTGCTTAGCTCTTGCCAAAAACCCAGGCACCTTGGAGAAGAACACTGAGTGTCAGCGGATCAAGATCCTGAATAATATAAGGAAGGTCAAGGAAGACTGCAGTGCCCCTCAGCCTGCCCCTTCTCTCTCCCCACCTGCCTCACAGAATGCAGACTCCCTGTCCCTGACCATTCACCCTTTGGAGGTCCCTGCTACTACCACCGACTCAGCCAACCTATATTCCAGGTCCCCCATCCTGTCTGTCCCTCCACCTTCCCCGACACCCAATATTGATCAGGAAACAAGAGACACAGTCCCTAAGTTGCCAGTGCTGCTGATTCTCTTCCTGTTTCAGCTTCTGATCCCATTTTGGGAATTCCACTAAAGAAGAATGAAGGCCCTTTTTATTCAGTCATAGCCACAACACCTCTTACTTCTGACCTCCCCACACCTCCTAGCATCCCAGCTTTCTCCTTCCAGCCACCGTCCTGTGAAAAGGAACCCCCAACACCCATTTGTGTAGATTCTACCCCTCCTTTACACTTACCTACCCTCTTCCAGTCCCTACCATCAATCCCCCTGTTTTAACTGGGCAGCCTATGACTTCTATGGCAATCCCTTCCACCAGCATGGTCATGGCACCTGGAAGTCTGACCTTCCAGCCTACTGTAGATCCTGATGTCACTGACATGGACACTCCTGCCCTTCCCCAAGCTGTCACTTTTAGGTCTCCCCCAGGTTTCAGGGTGGAGCAGAGGCACCCTTCAGGGGTACCAGTGTCCATCACCCCACCTGTGCCGATGGTCCCCTGCGCCACCCCAAATTTCAACAATCCCTTTGGCCCTCAAACCAACCCTCAGCCCATATTTGGGACCTCTGATGGGCAGCAGAGAGCCTCTCTCCCTGGTGCTCCTGTTTTCCCCAGCCCCTCATTTATGGCTTCGGCTGTCATCGGTGCTTCAGCAGGCAGCACCTCTGACACCGAAGCTATGGACCCCACACCTCCTTCTTATGCTGTCATTCTCCAGTCTGCCCCTGTCTCCAGGTAGGACCAATACCCATTTCACACGGCTGCTCCTAGTTCTGAGAACACACCACCCAGTGGTAGCAATGCGTCAGCCCATGCCTCGACTCATTTTCCTGCAACGTCGGCCAACAGACAAACACTTGAAGCTTCTCTTGGACCCAGGTCTCCCGGCTCAGGCCACACTGGGGGCCAATGATGGGCAGAGGCCTAACGATTATTTTCTATTGGGAAACCCAGCAGCTCCAGCACAAGGTAAAGTCCTAACCTCTCCTGCAGCCCAGCCACCGCGAGTCAGCATCATGCAGTCAGCTTTGCCAGCTTCCCTATTCGCCACCACCATCAACACGCAGCCGGCCTTTGGCGACAACCCAGGCATTCTCCCCAGGGCTGTATCCATTGCTACTGGCTTTGGAGTTGCCACCAGGATGCCCAGTACTGGGGACAGTAGCTCGCTCTTTGCCAATACCACACCAGGCCCACTGTTCATGGGACCTGCAGCCCCTATGGCCGGTGGGAGCCTTGGAGTCAGTGTGTCAGCCCCAGGCCTCACTCATTCAGAGGCATCCAGACCACTTAACTTTGGGGCAGAACTAAGTGGGGCACCCAGCACCACTTCTGTTCCTACTTTGGGCCAGATAACCTGCCATCTACCTGACCACAGCAAGGCTGCTGCAGTAGGAGGGGCAGGCACCATCTCAGCATTTGGGAACATACCTGATTCCACCTTAAATCCAAATACATGGGGCCTACCTGGGCTGAATACAGGTGGTACGGTGATGGCAGGGGACACCACCATCCCCACGATTGGAGGCCACTTTCCATCATTGTACCCAGGGCCCATCTGGACATAGAAAACCTACATTTAAGAGTTCCATCACCAAGGAGAAGAAATCTCTGTCAAGGGACGTGTCAGTGTCCACCTTCCATCAGAGCTCCCCACATCTGCTGGAGTTGCAAGTGTGGGTACCACCCATGGGCTTCAACACACTTCTAGTTCTACCTTATTTCCAAACACAAGGGGCCCCCCTGCCTACGATGCAGGTGGTGGTTGTATAGGATGGAACAACACGATTCTCATGATTGGAGGACCTGGTATTCCCACTAACAACTGGGACCCACCTGGCCAATACACAGGTGGTGCAGATGGAGGGAACAGCATCTCACTGGTGCTGGGAGGCCCTGTGTATTAACTGCCATCAGACTTGGAACCCATCTGTGCAGAGAACGGGGTGGGGGGCATGGGGGACAGCACCATCCATATTTAGAGAGGAACCTCTACTCTCAGGAAGAACACTGGGGCACCCAAGTCAGGACACCCCCGACTTAGACGAGCCAGCACTGTGTTTGGAGGCTCCCGGTCAGGGCAGCTGTGCCTGTGCTCATAGGAGTCTGGCAGCCTCATAACCTGCCCAGGGCTTCATAGGAGCCACCAGGTAATTCTTCTCTTCTATGAAGAAACTCAACAAATGAAGAGCAGATCTTATTCTGCAAACTGTGTGTAACCATGAATGGACTTCACCTCACTGGAAAGCGGTTCGGCCCCTTTAAGGGAACCTTGACCTCCTCTCTTCCTACAGCAAGCCGCAGGACCACATCTCAGGGGTGTGCAAGAGTGCGTGTGTGTGTGTGTGTGTGTGTGGTGTGTGTGGTGTGTGTGTGTGTGGTGTGTGTGTGGGGTGTGTGTGTGAGTGTGGTGTGTGTGTGTGTGGGGTGTGTGGTGTGTGTGAGTGTGTGTGTGTGGGGTGTGAGTGTGTGTGTGGTGTGTGGGGGGCGTGTGCGTGTTGGAGGGTGAGGAGCATATGAGTCTACTTCAGAACTACACCAGACTTGAGAAGTTCCAGTTAGGAGAATGGAAGAGAGCTGCCTGTACCATCCACTGTGCCATCCCTGGCTTGACTGTTAACTTGGTCGACCCAAGCCCCCGGCCAGTTTTGCCTAGACTTGGAACTGGCAAGATGCCCACTGCTGCTTTCAGATGCTTCCTCTCCCCCTATGCATTTGCCTCAATGGGCCTTTCTCTTTCCCAGCTTTATGTATATATATACATATACATAAATATATATACATATATATATACACCCATATATATATGTCAATAAAATCTTGTTCGTATTAATCTGCTTCTGTTTATGTGTCTTTACTCACTGACTCAGCTGTAGAGGAAGAACTGACATATGTGAGCGGTGATGTGTGAGCCAGACTTAAGGCCCCCAAATTCTTTGTCCCAGTGACTGGGATGTGGAATTAGGCACACGTTATGGCTGCATGTGCTGAGTCCTGAAATCTGTTCTCAGTGTAGCGAGTGACAATCAGGAGGAACGAAGGTCTAGAGGAGGGAGAGATGGGGTGACTCACCCTGGCTTCTCTCTATGTGTCTCTGTCCCCTCACCACTCGGACCACACTGGAGGCTAGAGAATCCCTGATGTGTGATAAGGAACCACACTTTATGATTTTAGTTTCTGAAAATGTTTAAATGTCTTTTGGGGCATCTTTTTATTCAATTCAGACTTAGGCCAGTCAGCGTCATACATTCCCACTCCACCCGGAGAGGAGGGATTTGGCATCCAGGTTCATGTGTCTGGAGAAACAAAGGAAGAGTTCATACCTGCTCTGTAATTATTGAAAATTTAAGTTTACCTCAAATTTACCATGCTGCTTAAAATAGCAGAAAACACCCTCTTTAAGAACTGGCTTGGCTCTGAGCTAAACCGCTAAAATATCAAATCACAAGAGTTATAATTGTGCCCACTTCAGGCTGACCCTAGAGTTCTGCTGGGCCTCCACTAGGTTTAATAATGGCACAATTCCTGAGTCTGTGCAGCCTATCTTCCAGTTGGAGGGGAGAACAGAAACCCATGTACATTATCTGGTAGGTTAGCTGGTAATAAATGCTATGGAGATTAAGCAGTATATGGTGAGGTGAGATTGTGGGCAGAGAGAAGAAAGGGTTTCAACTTAAACGGTAGACAGGATAAGTCTTACTGGGAAGGTGGAATTTGAACAGTCTAGAGGGAGGCAGATGAGTCACACATCTGAGGGAAAAGCATTCCATCCAGATCATGGGAATAACCTCTGCAAGGCCCAGAGGAAGGATGCCAGTGTCCTCAGGGAAGAGTTAGTAAATAATGTGGCTGGAATAGAGTCAGCAAGTGGGAGGGAGGGAAGGGGGAAAGGAGGACAGAGAAGATGTGTGTTGAATTCCCTGCATCACCATGTATTGACTGTGTGATCACAAAAAGTTAATTCAACCTTCAAGGGTTTCAGTGAACTCAGTGCTTTTTCTATGGCCTAGTTGTCTCTCAAGAGTTTTGGAAGGATAAAATAATGTAGGGAAGTGACTTATAAGCCATTGTTATTATTCTATACATAAGGATAGATGGATAGACAGGTAGATATAGATAGACAGATAGATAAGACAGACAACATACTTCTATGACAGATGGACATACTGCACGTATATGTATGCTTAATGAATTTCTTCAAATGCTTTCACTTGACAATTCAAATGGAGATCCCCTCTTTAAAGGGACCATAAAAGTGCTTACTTTTATGAAGTACTCACATGGAAAAATATAACTCAGCCTAAAAATGCACAGCACTGAGCCTAGTGTAACATTTATGAGATTAGACCTGTAAAAACAAAGAACACCATCACAGTAAAGCTTCCAGACTCCTCCAGGCACCCAGCCGACTGACTTATTTACTCTAAGTTGTTATGGTTCCAGAGGATCAAAACTCCTGCTCCTGAAGCTTTTTTGTTGTTTTTTTTTAGATTCCATATATACGTGTTAGCATATGGTATTTGTTTTTCTCTTTCTGACTTGCTTCACTCTGTATGACAGACTCTAGGTCCATCCACCTCACTACAAATAACTCAATTTCGTTTCTTTTTATGGCTGACTAATATTCCATTGTATATATGTGCCACATCTTCTTTATCCATTCATCTGTTAATGGACACTTAGGTTGCTTCCATGTCCTGGCTATTGTAACTAGAGCCGCAATGAACATTGTGGTACATGACTCTTTTTGAATTATGGTTTTCTCAGGGTATATGCCCAGTAGTGGGATTGCTGGGGCAGGACAGGAATAAAGACGCAGATGTAGAGAATGGACTTCAGGACATGGGGAGGGGGAAGGGGAAGCTGGGGCGAAGTGAGAGAGTGGCATGGACATATATACACTCCCAAATGCAAAACAGATAGCTAGTGGGAAGCAGCCGCATAGCACAGGAGATCAGCTCGGTGCTTTGTGACCACCTAGAGGGGTGGGATAGGGAGGGTGGGAGGGAGGGAGATGCAAGAGGGAGGAGATACGGGGATATATGTATATGTATAGCTGATTCACTTTGTTATACAGCAGAAAGTACCACACCATTGTAAAGCAATTATACTCCAATAAAAATGTTTAAACAAAAGTCAAAAAAAAAAAAAAAAAAAAAAAAACCTCCGGCTCCCGGGCTTCAGAGAATCTCCTGCCCTTTCTAGTCAGAACTACCTCCCAGAAGCAGGGCTGAAATCCAGTCTGCTTCTAATAGTTCCACACCTGCTCTCTGTGGTGCCTGGCAATACTACCAGGGACAATTTTTTAATTTTAAAAGTTTATACTTCTTGGCTTTTTGTTTTTGAAAAATGGCCTTCAAAGCTGAAAGGCACGATCCTGATAAGGGAAGCATTTAACAAATGTGTGAGAGATTTAAACATAATTTTAAATTTCACATTTTGATGCATTTACACAGTTGAAGCTATTTCTAAATAAAGAAAAATATTCTTTTCTTTTTTATGAAAATAATACATGAACATGAGAGCAACTCAAATAATACTGAAATTCAACCCTTCTAACCCCTGTTCCCCTCTCCAGAGACAGCTTTTTGCTACCTCAATGTTACCCCCATAATTCTAAACATTACGTGTATCCTGCTCTACCCATTTTAGATAAATTTTAACACCCTAACATGAAGAAGGAAGCTAAACTCCTACCCTCACTACTACTCACCCCTGTTCTTTTTCAATACATCATATTCATTTCATTACTCACGCTGCTTCTCTTTTGTAACTTCATGTAGTTTTGCTAGCTTTATTGATGGGAGAAGTGGCAGCATAGGAGCTAAAAGCACTGGTTCTGGACATGGACCACCTGGCTCAGAAGCTTTGTTCCTCGACTAGATAGCTCTGCAATCCTGAGTAATTTATATAACCTTCCTGGGCCTCTGTTTCCTCACCTGGAAACGAGGAAGTGGGTGATCCCCATCGCATGAGTTGCTCAGGATGATGCAAATAATAATTAGGCATTTGCAGCCTTTAGTATCCGACATGCAGAAGCTCTCAAGAAATATTAGCTATAGTATATAGCTATAGTATCAACTTTCTTATCATATCGACTTTCACCCTAATCTCATAATTTTCTTTCTGCATGAGACTATTTGTGCACCCACAGTTCTGTCTTTCCTTTCCCCTTGTACAACTCACCTCCTGTCAATACCACGTTTGTTTCGTTTGTCAGTGCTGATAACATTTACATTTTCTTATGCAATCACAGCAAAGTGTCCTGTGTTTTACCTACACGTTGACATTAAGGGTGGAAAACCAAGAAGTTATATTAACTATTTAAGTTTTGCTCAGTCCTGGGGACAAGAGTATGGTAGGATTGTATTTTCTTCTCTCTAGGTATGACGCCCCTACTTCTGTCTTTACTATCAATTATTTAAACTCATGCTATATGTTAGTTTGCTTTATACTTCAACTATTATCTTCTCACAAGATTTCATTACTTTTCCTAAAATCTGACCCACCTTCTTCTGTTTTTCTCCCTGCACTCTTTGCCCATAATAAATTATTTTTAAAATTTTCA